GGGGTGCTACGGGTTTCCCTGCAAGTTTTTTTCAGCAATTATGCTCCAATGTATGACATCGTACATTTTGAAATCGTCAGTTACAGAAAGACAAGAGAATTGCAGATGTCTGCTTGTGCAATTAATTTCTCATGTTAGAGCAAATTATGTCTTTTGGGGGGGGGGGGTATATTCACTGGATCAAATTATTGTGGGGGTCATAACCCCCCTAATCCCCCTGTAAATTACGCCTACGTATATTTGGAAATTACATTACAATGGGCAATGTTATTTTTAAGGTTTAACCAAAAATGCTGTAACAAAAATTCTCAACAAAAGATTATTTTAGTCTAAGTTTGTGTAATGAAATGCTGATGGTAGGTGTTTCTTTAAGGACTGCTAAGCCTTTAGTTTAAAGAGACAGTTTTGTATAAAAATTGACTTTTTTATTTAGATTTACATCATGTTATAATGTCATTCCATCATCAAAAACATACCCAGAGTGTTGCTTTGACTCATTCATGCATGTTTCAGAAATCCTTGAATCTCCTGTGGCCATGTGGAGCTGTTTCAACACTTGCTGGTACAAAGCTCCGCCTAATTACACAAAGCTCCCACCCTACAGAGCATTGTTGTCAAGATGTGCTGACGTGGGAGTGTTGAAAATGGTAAGGGGCCAATTTCAAGGCGCTTAGATAGGCTAGGCATTCATAGAAACAAGCTGCTACCCGAATTAGTTATCAAATTCTTCCTGCTTTTTTTTCCCAAAACCTCTGCCAGCTATTGAATATAAGCTGCAAAGGACAACACCTGGCACCACCGAAACTAGAGACATTCAAAACTCAAGCATCCGTTTATTTTTTTTTTCCTCCAGCAGGACTCCACGTTTTCATCTTAAATTTGTTTAGGTGGTGTCCTGCTTTGTGAAGTAGAAATAATTTCCCATGCATTTCAGAATTGGAATGAATGTTGACGCGGGGACTGAAGTTTCTGTAATGGTCATTACAGGAACCGCAGGGCTGTAATAATTTCTGAAAAACCTTCCATCACACATGGTTGAAATAACTTCAGGAGTTCCTGGCATTTTCCACAGATCAGAGTCAGTACCAGAAGTAATCACTTTCATCTAACGCTTCTTCCGGAGTCAGGAACTTCCTCTTTAACCACCTCAGGAGAGAAAAAGCATCCCTCCATAAATCTTGACTCAGTTCTTTCCTCTGTGCTGTGATGGGTGATTTTTCCATCCCTGCTGCTGCACTGCATTCTCCCAGTCTGCCTTTTTCTCACACCACAATCTGGATAGCACTTTCACAGTGACAAAGACTTCAATCAACTTGTTTTTTATTTTTTTTATTTTCCAAATTGTAACTATATTTTTAAGTTTTAAAACCTTACTTCCCTTTCATTTCAGGATTACAGATGAAGACAGTAAATAAAACATTTGGAACATTTATTTAAATGAACATTAACTTACAGTTAAATCAAGTAAAATAGTTTACCACTACAGCCTTTTGATCTTTGTGCTGCTATTAACAAATGTAACTTGTGTGTTTTTAATTATTTTGTGTGTGTGTGKGTGGGGGGGGGGGGTGTTAGAACCAAGGTGTGAATTAAGTTTATACTAGATTTAGGGAATTGGAGTGGTTAACTTTAAAGTAAGGGGTCATGTTTAGGCTATAGAAATGACCAGTAAATGAACGGAAATCAATGGAAAGTCCCCACAAGGATAGAGAAACATAGCATGCGTGTGTGTGTGTGTGTGTGTCCAACAAAGGTATTGTGAGATGTTTACTCATTAAAAGCAAAGCAAATAAATAATGCTACTTACCAGAAGGATTCACAGTTAGCATCTAATAACCAATTAAACAGTAATCACGTACAGATAAACAAGTTGATGATGTAAACCAATACATTAGGCATGCATAATTAATGCATGTTTAATGAATCTAGTAAAAATATCATTGGCCCCTAGAAATGTTCAATGAAAGTATCTAATAATCCAGCTGAAGCTGGATAATCTTGGCCCAGTCGCTGCATTTTGTTTACTTTCACAACAGCTGCCATTTTCTTTTTAACCCCCTGCATGCACACATCACACACACGTTCACCGTCACAAATAAACAYGAGTTAATTCTGCTGCTTTGAGTTTACTTCATTTTGCCGAACTGTGAAGTCAGTGTGACCTGAAGAAACAGCTCCTATTCTCATCAAAAAGTAACCAGAAAACATTGAGTATTGAGGTGGTTAGAAAGAAAATGAAAACAAAGTTTTGCCGATTAAGTAGTTTCAAAAACATTCTTCTGTGAATCTTATAACTATATATGAACATTTTCTTTAAATTACTAAAAAAGACTATCAATTCACTGTGTTTGAGTTTAATTTAGATTAAAAACAGGAAA